GGAAAATGTCTTACTTTTCCACTATAGACTGCTTTGTGAGAAGCAATCTCAAAATTCTGCTTCCCTGTAGGAATATACAAGGAGACCAGTAATGCCCTCACTATTGTGAAGAAAAAGAGACCTGATTTTTGGGACACTGATGAGCAAGGTGAAAAGGAAAAGGAGTTTGGGATCCAGACCTCTTCCCCTGGACAGGAAGGACAGGAGACAAAAAAATACCTTTTTTTCTCAAGATCATGCCTTTTTTACCTGGAATGATAGGGGCCTTTGAGGATCTAGACTTCCTGAGGAGCTTCCCTGAACACATTCATCCCCACTCCCTCGTGCTCTGACCCTCAAAGCTCTGGCTAGGTTAGAACAAGTGGAGCATACCTGCCTCAAAAGCATCTCCAATCATCTGAGCAGGATGCCACGTTGGGAGCTAAGGCACTAGGAAGACAGCATGCAGATGAGTCACTCCTAGGCTTTCTGCATTACACAGGGCATGCAGAGAATCTCCAGAGTACCTCTAGGGTATTTGTTAGGACATTTGCTTGGGAAAAACCTGTCCTCTGTCTAGAGCAGCTACTCCATGGGAGAAAAAACCCATCATATATAAAAGGTAGATAAGCACAAGGAAATTAATAAGAAAGATAAATTTATGTTCCCCTCTGCAATTTAAGTTATTTCAAATGAGCATTCCTGGCAACTAGTCTTTTTCAGCCAGGTGGATCAATTCCTTCAATTTCATTCAAGTGAAATGTTTGTGGGACCACTAAAGAGTATTCAAGCCATTTCTCCTCAGCTATACTACTTACTAACCATGTCCTATCATTTTGACCTGTCTCCTCATGTTTGCCCTTCCACAAGTTTTTCTATCAGCATCACTGTATGGCAGCAAAAAAACATGTGTGTGTATTCAACAGCCACCTCTTCCAGAAGAATTTTTTTGCTTCTTTTTCTTTTTTTTTATTTCTAAGGTAGAATTCTCTTGAGTTACATGCCTGTCTTTAGTTAAGACTGACTTTTATAGACCTCATCTGGCCCTTACTGAAAAATGGTAAAGTTTTTTCATTAGAGTTGCTTCTTAGCAGAAATTCCTTTAAGCTTAGGGGGTTTTGTGATTTTGTTCTTTTTTTCTTTTCAGCAGATGTTTGTTCTCATAGAGAACTTTTGCTTTCAAAAGGAAAATCAAACCTTTCTCCTCAATGTTTAAGTGTTCCGACTTTTCCCATTTTCATTAATGGAAAACCACAGTGTTTAAGATTGTGTGGCTTATTTTTGAATAGTTTTGAAAAGTTTCATAAAGAACCCTTCCATATTTCATGGCTCATTCATAGGGCTATCCAATTAAAGACACTTTGGATAAACAACCCAATACTTTTGAACTCCAAATGTCTGGCTTTTTGGTGCTAGATCACTGCCAATCTTTTTCTTCTTCTTTCTTCTACTGACAAAATACCACTATATTATACCAGTCTTTATGGGTGTCTTGTAAATTTTCTTTGCTTGATTAGTACAGATTCTCTCTTATAAAATAACTTGTCTACATTACATGCATCTTGCTGGCAAGCAGTTAGTCTGCCATCTTTATCCACCTCTTGTAATCTCCCTGTTCTGTAAATTACTGGAATAACTGGGTCAGTAACTCCTCTTTCTTACATTTCTGTGTAACAGAAGAAGGGAGGCAGAGATAATCCAGGCTTTGGGATTTATAGGAGTCATTACTTCATAAATAATGAGTGATAACAGTATTGAAAAAGTGACTTTTTCTCTTTTTTTTTTTTCAGTCCAAAAATCTCATTTAATCCAGAGAAACGCAGAGCAGGGTCCCATAGGGAAATTTTCGACTGATCACCAAGAGGAAAACTTACAGCAAACTATGCTGAGCATACAAAATGCAGAAATCATCACAGTCTGCTCAACACAGTTGACAAAACAGAATTACTGAATCCAAATTGGTATGTACAGCCACAGCTCTGACCTCAGAGCTGGTCAGTTGAAGATTGCTGAGGGTGTGCTAGTGCTATCACCTCAAGTTCCTGTAATTTCCAACTACAACACACTTACAGGAAGGACAAGGAAGAATTCAGTTACACTTCATGAAAAACAGCTTTAGCTGGGATGAATTGGCATGACTGATGAGATTATACTGATTTTCATCAGGCAAAACCCTAAGGATCCTATGGACCATAACCCTATCTTAACTCTACTGTTTGGAAAGTGTAAAACACATGAACAGTGGGCTTTACGTTTAAACAGAAAATAGAAGTATGACTATATTCTCATTTTTTCATATGCCAAAAGAATTGGATGCAGACTGCAGAGACTGTGATTTCAGGTGGCAATGGTTTATGTTTTGTCCATCTTTCTTCCCCATCTTAACACATCCTCTCATGATTATCGTTACTTCTTATTTTTCTGGAGGAAGCTAAGCACTTTCAGTGTAATTATTCTCTGGGATACACTGAAACCCCAAATAGCTCATTCTTTAGGGCCAGTTAAACAAATGGGATGAGAAAGTACTCAAACATCTTGCAAAAAATCCTGAGGAAATCCTTGTCTTTCATCTCTATGAACATCTGAAGCTTCAAGGAAAATGTTCACTGAAAAGGCAAATTTAAAGAATGCCAAGACATTCACATTTTGTTGGAGTGTGTGCCTTTGATGTGTATGATAAGGCCTTTCTCCTCCCACCACTGCTTTGCTGCTGCAGAATGTCATGCCTTGGCTTCTTCAAACACAGGTTTTCCAAGTGTCTCAAGTACCAGCTGGAGTATTCTCCAAAAATTACTTACTAGCACTCCTTGCTCGTTGGGACACAATATGTCTCCCAGTGAAGGCAGTGGTAGAGAGGGATCATGAATTTCTCTAACTCCTTTGGACTTGGGGTTCTACAGTTTGCTCCACAATGACCCTTTAGTATAGTTTTGTTCCAAAAGTAATCATCAGGGAAAACTATTACATTTGTCTCCAGCCTAATGCAATTGCTTCTCTGGCATTTCAGTGTCTTGGATCTACATGATCACACTGGGAACATAACATCTGATAGATTTTCATGTGTGATGCACATATACAACTGCAATGTATGTTCTATGTACCTTTCACTGGGATTCTGGCCATAGCAGTCATCCAGAGTCCATCTGGCACACTTTTTCCCAGGAAAGATTGCTTAAGGCTAATTTTCCTATATGGAACCTTAAAAAGTTCTTCATTAATTTTGTTGGGACACCGACTTTTGAACCTTGGTCTGAGTTCAAGAGTGAGGAAGTGAGATACAGTACAGTCATGTGTGGATTCCAAATGCTGTGACAACTTTCCAAAGAAATCTACAGAATTTGTATATTTTATGAGATCATACTGACACTGAAAATCCTTGGGCTACTTGACACATGTTCTAAAACCTAGGCCATGGTCAAAAGGAGTATCTCCAAGTCAAAGATAACCTGCCTGTGTTCTTGTTGTGATGATGAACCCAAAGGGAAGTCTTTTTCTGTTGTATCCGTGTGAAGGTCAGGCACCACATGCAGCAGGTTGTTTAAGCTGCTGCTGCCTTGTGCTCTGCCTCTCTGCCTGTGGAACCAAAAGCAAGTTTCCTATCTGTGAAGGCAGCACATATAGGGCAGCTGAGTTGCTGGTGTCTCTCTGCCTATAGCTGTAGGACATAGAGCTGATTCTGTGATTCTATGACTATGGGGTTTTGTGCTATTGCACTGGCCAACCATAGCTATTTCATGGGCTTTTAGAGTCTTGTGAATTCATCTGCAGAAGTTAACACTAGGACACAGCACTGTGTTCTTGAACAATATACCATGAACTACACAGGCCAGGACACACTCCCTGAAGGGGTTAGGTCTATTGTCTTTTGAGCCTTCAAGGTGAGCAGAAATTTATATCAATGCCTGCTTCAAGAAGATCTAATTTAAATACCAGGGCCATGAAGGATGTAAGTTTCTTTGATCATCCACTGGTGATCAGTATTCCACATCATCCTTCTCCATTGGACTATAATTCAGCAGCTATCTCCACCATGGCAAGTCTACCTTTCTGAGCCAGGAACATGTAGTAAGAAACCTGTGCAGGAAATACAGAAGAACAGATGCTCTGTGCCGTTGATACAACTTCTTCAAGCTGTTGTCTAATGCTTTTATAGTACTGCAAATATAGGCCAGAAATTCCATCTCCTGGGTAGCAGCTCAGAGCAGGGATGTCCAGGATGAGCCATGGCTTCAATTAGGTTGTTTCCCCCAGTTCTGTGAGGAAAACATGCTCTGTCTTGAAGCTGAAAGGAAGCAACAGCAAACCTGACCTGCTGTAACATCCCAAGTTCTTATCATGAGCTCATCAATGGGGTTTTACATTAAAAATATACAAGGCTCCAAACCTGCCTGACGGATTTATTGAAATTGCCTTCAGTTCTTTTATACCTTGAGGCCACACATGGGAAAAATGCTACAACACTTTTCAAAGGGTCAAAGTAATACACTTTTGCTGGCAAGCTGTGGAAAATTAGGGAACTTGGCAAAAGTTTAAAACAATCATTCAGTCAACATAAAGCATTTCACAAAGCATTGATTCAGCAAATCACAACCCATCCAGGTTTAAGTTATCCAATTATCAAGAAAAGGAAACTGAGAGAAGAGGGAAAAGTAAAGAAAGAGAGAGGGAGAAAGAGAGAATTATAGCTACCGCCTTAAATACAGCATAGATCCAGCTGTTAGACATCCAAGAAACGGTGGGGCGATGAACCATGTGGTGGCTGCCTGGTGCTGATTTTATTGCTCTGGACTCCTGTGGGCACTGCTTCTAGGTGGGCTTCCAGTTTGCCAGCGGTACACGTCTGAGTTAGAGATCCAGGGGGTGTGGTGTGGGGTGTCAGGTGTGCCAATGGCTAATAGCCATTCTGGACTGGCTCCAGGGTTGGGGAGGAGGAATGGGGTAGTGCACTGTCCAGCCTTGGCCCCTCCCCCACCCCCCCGGTGTTGTTTCAAGCCATTTTTAACTTTAATAACCTTTTTCAGTCCCTCACAGCTGCCTCCTCAGCCTGCAGCTTCCACTGATGTTATTGGAATTTGCAATAATGGGGACACATTCGTGGTGCATAAATGTGAATCCCACTGGTTAAAAGGGCAGAAGATAAAGGAAACTTCACCAAGGGAAGTAAGTTAATTTTCAATTGTATATTTCCATATTTCCAGCCCTTGATTGAAGTTAGAATTTCAAAGAATTGTAGAATCATAGAATAGTTGGGCTCTGAAAGGACCTTTAAAGGCCATCTAGTCCAACCCCCTGAAATACACAGAGACATCTTTGTCTTGTTTAATGACAATATACTGGGGAGGCGGGACCTCTAATGAGATGACCCCTCCTCCCCTTATTATTTCCCTCCCCCCAATATATATAGAGAGAAGAAATTATGAGGAGTCTGAATGAAGCAAAAATAACAATTTTACTAAAAAGGGGAACAACAACAATAGTAGCAGAATATTACCTAACCCCACCTTCCCAGGCTAAAACAAAACCTGGAAGGCTATTTCATCTGAAAGGTTTTATGCTGCTGAGGTGCTGGTGTGAGTTCTGGTGCGGCAGTGGCGTGGGTGCACAGGGGACCTGGCACAGAGTGGGCCAGGTGCAACTCCAGGGCTTGCCATTGCAAGTGGCAAGGGCACTGCGAAACAGCTCCGAAAGCAACAGTAGTGTGGGGGCCAGGGCAACCTCCAAAGTGCTCCAACACTGGATGGCTGGGTGTCCCAGCAAGGCTCCAAGAGTCCATGATGGTCTGGCAGCCAAAGCCAAGAAAAGAGAGGGCCACTTCTGGCCTATGCTCATTCTTTATCTTCTGTTCCCCAAGCTCCTGGGATGTGCCACTCCAGGGAACCACCTTTCTGGTGGGTCCTGAAACAGCTTGAAAAATTTTCTCTAGCCCTGCTCCAGCAGGGGAAGTGGTGCCTCCCTCCTGCTTTTGGATGATGTGACGGGATGAATATTCATTACTGAAATTCGGTTCCCCAATCTCTCAAATTAACTAATTTGATCCCTGAGCAGACTGTAGGATGCTGGTACAAATCTGCTCCAGGGGAAGAGATGGTTTCCACTGAGACACTGAGAGCTGTAGCTCCCAGGCAACCCTGTATTTGGGCAAGCACACAGGGACACAGAGAAGCAGTGATTGCATCATGGTAACCACAGTCACAGCAGTTTGGCATGGATATGGACTTGCCCTCGGCTGAAGTTAAGCTAAATGCTGAGGCTGAGGTTCTACTTGTTCCCTGAAGTAGGCACAGCCCTGTCTGAGCATGGGAGTCTATGTCAAAGCAGTTGTTTCTCCTCTTTGCCCTTCCCACAGGTCCTGTGTCTGTCCCAGGATGGATGCTGAGCAGGGGCAACTAGAAACACTCAGCCAAGTGCTAAATGTTTTATGCTATTGCCTGATTGTTTTTAAACTGTGCTTACTTGGCAACACGCCTCTCAGGACTGGTTATGTAAGATTAGAGATGTTTTTTCCTAATGCGGCACTGTGACTTGTAAACCCGTTGTGCACTGGTAACAGCTGAAGAGCCTGCATTTAAAACTGGAACTACAGCAGCATTTACTGCATCCTTGTTAGTACTACACAACTGGGGTTTTTTTAAATTTTGCTTAATTATCTATGATAAAAGGGAAGGAGAGAGATAAAGCAATGTAATTCTGGTGAGATCGACTGTTGTCTTGCCATTTTCAGAAATAACCTTTAAGGAGTCTCAGAAAGGACAAAGGATGGCATAGCAAGCATGGCTGAGTTGACCTCATTGTTTCCAGAAAATAATGTACTTTCTATTGCATTTTTTCATAGTCCATTCAAAATGTGAAGGACCAACTATTACAGCCACCAGCATGTGCCATTATCTCAGCAGTGATGGATGACAGTCTGTCAATCACCCCTTGTGGTTGCAGATGCTTGCTCTTCTCAGCATCCTGACAGGAGGAGTGCCATAGCCAGATAGAGCTGTTGGCAGCCCTCAGCCCTTCCCACAGCTGCAAGGATGAAACAACCCCGGCTTTCCCAGCCTCTGCAGACTACAGCACTCTATGTGCAATTCTTTCAGGTTTATACGTGTAGAAAATCACATCAGTACTAGGTAGAAACCTGGAGCAACTGAGAGCAGAGGAAATTGATGTTGACCTGCCCATTTGCCTTTTGCCATTACTAGTCTGCCTGTACACTGAGGTTCACTTAAAAAAAACACCTGTTTCCTGCTGATGAAGTGAGATTCCTTTAATTTATGCCATGCTGGAATTTGAAGCTCCTTGGCACACCTTAAATTTGTAATTCGCTGTTAGTGCTAAGGGGAACCTGACTGGGAAGTTGCAATCTGATGACACTATCTACAGGGAGATGAGGAAGATCCAACTCTTTCTCTTGGTGAGAGAGCTTTTGACTGTTTGGGAGATGCTGTGGAATATAGGGAGGCTTCCTAAACTTTTCTCATTAGCTCACTTCATTAATTGAGACTGGTGCTAGCTGCATGCTTAAGCAGACCATTAATCTCAGCTCTGCACACCACCAAATCTCTGACAAAAGTGAAGATGGGCTAGGCTGGAATAATAAATCTGCCTAGAAACAAAAACAGGAGCTTCTGCTTCTTGCATATATTGAGCCATGGCTTGTGAGTTCAGTGGGAAGACTCAATGACTGAATGTGATCTAGGTACATTCATGTGAACTCCTCAGCCCTCTGGTGTATAGCACAGCTAGCCAAAGAGTGCTTTTGGGGTTCTTTTCAGGATTTGAGGCAGATGATGAATCTGTTCTGCCTTACGTCTCCAGGAGAGTAAGAGAAACTTCCTCCTGCACAATCCCATTAAGACTTAGGTTCTTATCAGGGAACCTGAGGAAGCAGTGGAAACAGTCACAAGAACAGAAAAGACAGTTGTCTGAAAACCACCCCTTACCCACATGGTTCTCTTCCCATGTCTAAAAAGGACCAAGATCAATACTGGAACTATTACTTCTTGTTTATTCTATTCCCACTCTGTGTTCTTTACGCATCATCAGAACAAGGATTAGCTTCATTGGGCTGCAGTTATAAATCTGGTTATAAAGAAACATAAGGAGCATTGTGGAGAGAATCTTATTCATGTCAGGCAGTATTTTCTGAGTTGTCTCAGTATAGGAAGAAGGGCTAGGCTAAACATATCTGTTGAAACATTCTAGTGTGTAGAAGTCATTTTTAAAAGATGAAAATTCCTCTCCTCCCCCCACATTTACGTTTCTCTCTTTCCTTTTTTTTTTTTTTTTTTTTAGCATTATATTCGTCAATAAAGATTTTCAGGTAATTTATTTCCAAATCAGTTCCTTCTAACATTTGCTCTTCAGGGGGGGGTGGGGGGTGGGGGGTGTCATTTTTTCCACTCTCCACAAGATTGTGGCTGAGGGTCAAGAGACAGTAGAGTCTTCATCACTTCTTTGGGATTAACCCCTGTCGTAGGTTTGAAAAGGGATGTTGGAATTTATTTTTTTTTCCCCTAGGGTCCCCTCCCATCATGTTTCTTCCGGGATGGAGGGGGAGTCAGGGTGGGGGTGGAGCGGAGCAGCACATTCTGGGCCGGACGGGAGAAAGAAGAAGGGGAGGTCTGCCAGGGTAGCGCAGTTGCCACAGAGACAGATGGTGGAGTTTTTTGTCCGGGGTTTTTTGGATTTGGTCCGTGGTTTCTCCACTCCCCGCCCCCGGGGAATTGGAACTTTGTTTTGTTTCTTTTGAAAGTTTTTGATTGCACCATTTGTTGTTTATTCAGATTTTGTTAATAAAAAGCCAGTTTTCCCTTTTCCACACTTCTACCCGAAGTTTCTTAATTTCTAAGTTGTAATCTTGTTAAACTAAGACAACCCCATGCAAAAAAAGGTTTGCTTAGAAGCAAGAGGGATCTCAGCATAAAAAGTATTAATGTTTAAAATGTGTGGGTTGTACTGACTGGATGATCTGGTGATGCCTTCTGCTCCCCAGGGACCATATTAGAGATCTGGCTGACCCATGTCCACTGAACAGAAACCAAGATGTGTCTTTGGCCCCTGCAGACACAGGGACAGCAACTGCTGTGCAGCCCAAAACCTGCTGTGAATTCCAGGCACCAAGGTGGGTTTGGCTTGGATCCTTCAGTACCAGCCTAGGAAGGTTCTTGCAGCTATGCTCCAACTTTGGTCCTCCCAGCCTCTGAAGAGACTTGGACAAGGAAGGAAAGAAAACTCTTAGCTTATACATATTATATTATGTATCTATATATACATATATATGCATATACATATTAGCTTCACATTCAGTTTTTTTATACAGATGCTATTGGTTACTTAAGCATTAAGGTTTTTGAAAAGCTATTCACACCAAAGAAAGTATCTGAAATAAAAACATGTTCAAAAATGGCTTTTCCATGCTCTCCATTAAGACAGTGGAGTTTGTACTTAGCTGCAGGACCTGGCTGGCATTGCCTCCAGCAGCATCCGCCCTAGCTAGATGCCTGGAGCAAGAGCACCTGACTGACAGGAGCGACCAGGGAAACTGCAACTGCTGGTGCTGGCAGGTGAGGCACAGAGATGGTGAGTGAAGTTGATGTGAGTGACCTCATGTAGGGATCAAATAGATAAATGTTCAAATTTTGATTGTTAATCAAATAGATTTGCTATTTTCATTGAGTATGAAGAGGTAACTAACCTTTTTTTTTTTTCATACTTTAGACAATAGATCTGCAAGGAATAGATCTGTATCAGGAACAGTGTGGCCGACAGGTCCTGGGAAGTGATTCTTCCCCTGTACTCAGCACTGGTGAGGCCACACCTGGAGTACTGTGTCCAGTTTTGGGCCCCTCAGTTCAGGAAGGATATTGAGGTGCTGGAGCAGGTCCGGAGAAGAGCAACAAGACTGCTGAAGGGACTTGAGCACAAGTCCTATGAGGAGAGGCTAAGGGAGCTGGAGGTGTTTAGTCTGGAGAAGAGGAGGTTCAGGGGAGACCTCATCACTCTCTACAACTCCCTGAAAGGAGGTTGTAGCCAGGTGGGGGTCAGTCTCTTCTCCCAGGCAGCTATCAGTAAGACAACAGGGCATGGTCTTAAGCTCTGCCAGAGGAAGTTTAGGTTAGATATTAGGAAGAAATTCTCTACAGAGAGGGAAATCAGGCATTGGAATGGGCTGCCCAGGGCAGTGGTGGATTCTCTGTCCCTGGAGGTTTTTAAGATGCGACAGGATGTGGTACTTAGTGCCATGCTCTAGTGGCCAAGGTGTTGTTAAATCAAGGGTTGGACTTGATGATCTTAGAGGTCTTTTCCAACCTGGCTGATTCTATGATTCTATGAGTCTGTGGTTCTATGATTAATCAAGAAGAGGAGCAGGAGACGTCCTTTCAACCCTGCAAGTTCTATGATTCTATGAATCTACGAAAAGTAGCCTATGTTAAAGCACTTCTGGTTTGCGCCTGGTCCACCCTGTGCATCAGCAAGCCAACAGCACACATGGGGTGGGGTGAGTGCTCACTGTGACTAACAGAAGGAGAAATGTGTACAATCAGAATGAAAACCTGAGGTACTTGATGGAGGCAACTTACTCATGCAACAGCTGTGGCATTTGATTGATTTCCCTGCCTGACCTGAGTCATGGGAAAACAACCAAAGGGTTATTTCAGCTGACTGACATGACCCACTCTGGAGGGACGTGACTAGGATGTCTGTAGCTGAATACATTGAAAAAATAGTTTTATTACTCTATATTTGTTATTTATTTTTATCACCAGAACTACCTGGAATTCACACAAAAATTCTGCAAGTCCAGACAGCACTGAACTATTCACTCTATACTCCGACTTCATGAACCAGGCTCATCCCAGGGGAATGGAAGGGGCAAAATAGTCTTGCTATATTGCAGAGTGGAAATAGTAAACACAAGAACAAGTGGGATATGTCAGAGAAAAATCAACAAAACATCCTATCATCAGGTCAGTTAATGTTCTTTGGGAGGACTCTGGATGTTTCTTTAAAAAGGTCCATCTACAAAGATAGCTCTTAAAATCCATCAAGGAAAAACTGGGTCTAGCATGTTACAGATTTACAGTCAGCCCAAGGTAGGGAGTTAGGGTTTGTTTTCAAAGTGCAAGGAGATTGCTGAAGATATCTTCCCTTCTCATTGACCTGTGCTACCCATTATATTCATATGGGACATGAGGAAGAACTTCAGTAGGGCAATTACCAAGACTGCGGATGATACAGAATTGCCTAGGATAATGATGGTTTTTAAGTGAAGAGTAGAAAATGGGTCTCTTGAGTAAGTGGTCTGCAAAATGGCAAAGGAAATTTAGTGTCATCTGGAAAGAAATTATAATATGGAAAAGCAATGTTTACAATACACTAATGTTGCACTAGTTATTAAGACTCACAATGCAGAGCTAGAGTTACTCTGAATAATGTGGTTATCTGAAAATATGGAAGAGGTACATGAATACATCTGCACTGCTTTCTCCATGACCTGGATTAGTGTATAGTCTGCTTCAGCCCCAACTGTAGGTGTTGAGCTCTGTGCCAGTACCTGGGAGTGACCTCAAATATGCACACTCTGCTCTAGGTGGGGAAAAAAGTCTACAACTTATTGCTCAGGTGTTTGGCTTTTTTATCAGTTGTCCAACTCCTGTGCTATTCAGGGATGAGGGCCCACTACAACCCTCTTCTGCACCAGTCTGTGGAGGATATAAGCTATCTCATCCTTCCTATGCTGAGGCTTGACCTCTTCAGCCTGAGTTGTCACCACCCCATGTGGTTTACTTCTGCAAGTTCTTGACTTGATCTTTGGTATGTTATATTGGAAGAAACCTTCCAAAACAGGGAGGTACCCAGCATGAGAAGCATGTTTTGTCTGTAACTGTGCACACTGAATGACACTTGATTTGGAGAAGTTGAGCTCAGAAGAAATAAAGTTTGAGCATTAGAAAGAAGGACCAAAAAATAAGAATTTGCTTTGCTTCATCCTGCTTCTCTGATGTCTTCTGCTGATTTCTAACTCCTTTCTCTTCAGGATCTAGAGCCCCAGAGGAAACACTGTGGTGAACGCACAGCTAACTTACATCAAGACAACAATGACCTGAAAGTGCTACCACTTTCCTCAATACCAGGCATCCTCCCTGTCAGTGTCTTGTATTTTGAAACACTTGTGGTCTTACAATAAAACCAGTTTCCAATTTACACATTTTGACTCCCCAGTACAAAATCCCAGGACACTATCCTCTTGCCTTTATGGATATCTTTTCATCTGCTAAAATTTTTCATATTTGCACATTTTTTCTTACAGTCCTGCGTGCCCCATAGAACAGGTTCTTCAAAAGGCAAAGAAAAGACTGGGGCAAGCAGCATCCTACCTTTTATCAAAACCTTTCTTTTATGTCTCATATATACCTCATGAACAGTGTGAAATGAAACATTCCATCTTACAGTTTGGCTGTAATTGTCATTTAATTTACTTGTGATCCTACAGCTTCTCTTTTATTCCCAGTCCTTATTTCTTACAGAGGATCCCAAATACATCAATTTTATCAATATGACCTGCTCACATATCTCACACTTGGGTGATCATCTTTGTTCTAAAGAATCTCATGTTCACAGCCTGTTTCTAGTGGTACTAATAAAAACCTCTTTCCATCCTTTTTTGAGAAACCATCCCTGTTTTCCACCTTCTTCTTAAAAATTAAAGAGAAAAAAAAAGGAAAGGAAAATATTCAAATTCTACACCCGATATTCTCTTTTTCAACAGTTCATCACTGTGTACCTCATTTGTTATCTTTCTAATATATTCCTCCAGCAGGATTATGCTGCTTCACTAAAGTTTTGACCTGTCACTTTTTCACTATTTATACAGTTATCATTAAATGTTCCTGTCATATCTTCACGTTGTTGTTTTTTCTCTTCATCTTTCCCAGCAATGTATAACCTGCTCTTGCTTCAGTGCGTGGACAGTAGCATACATAGCACAGCTGCTGCTGTTGTTCTTATTACCACCATAATGGCTGAGGCAAAAAAGAGAGAAGCAGCTTTAGGCATCGTACAAATACAGACAATCCCTGACCAAAAAAAAGAAAGGGGGAAAGCTCTAGTTTTGTTCAGAATAATTCTGAAATTATTCCTATAAGTATCCTACTCGTCCTTTAAAATATTCATTTTTACCCATTGTAAAGTTATTACTAAATGCAATGTGTTCAGCCCTCCGTTTTTTTGACAGTCTACTATTTTCCATTAGTTCTCCCTCACCACCTCCCTTTCTAGCTAGTTTTAGCAACAACGTTGGAGCAGGTGATCTCTCTAAGACTTCACTTGCCACAGTTTTCCTATGTGCTTTGATACGTGGAATCCAGCCATGTATTAAGTGCTGCAATAACTACAGGTTCCCAGGTTTTTGAGAAACCTAGCCTTCATTTAATAGTTTTACAGTGGTCTGTCCCCCTTGTCCACCTCTCTTGGCAAAAAAAACCCCTGCTGGATTGGCTTGTTTTATCAACATTTTAGTCCTGAGATCAGATCTTCACACTGGAAATGCGTTTATTCCCAGCCAGCCACCACTGCCCGGTGCTGTTTAGTAAATCAGCAGACTGAACTTATGCACTCAACCCAGCCTGTGTGGAGAGGGTAACACTGAGCCCCAGTGAGCAGAGCTTCATTCTGTTTCTGCAACACGTCACCCACCTACAGAGCAGATCAAGGAAGATGTTACATGGTAGCAGCAGGAGAAGAGTCACTCAGCTACAGAGAGCTTGGAGGGAAGCTAGACACCATCTCATCCTAACAGGAGGGCTAGAGAGCTGTATGGGCAGTACATAAGGCATGTTGGGACACTGGTGAGTTGCCATTGGATATTAGGAAAAAAGAAATCACTGTAAGGGTTATCAAGCGTTGGAACAGGCTTCACAGAGATGTGGTTGACTCACTGTTCTTGGAGGTATTTAAAAGATGTGTAGATAGGGTGCTTAGGGACATGTTTTAGTGGTGGACTTTGCACTATTGGCTTTACAGTTGGACTTGATTATCTTAAGAGTCTTTTTCCTCCTAAACAGTTCTATGATTCTGTAATTCTATGACAGTGGACAGTCAGGAAGGTTCCCAGTCTGTTCTGCCCCCTGGTGATGGTTCTGGGAGATTATTGCAGTAATGCTGTTTGGGTTTATTTTCTTGCAGTATAATATTTCTTTGAATTGGGATTGAAGAAAAGGAGGACACCAGGGTGAAGGAACTTCAGGATGTGGAAATTTCAAACCCTGTCCCTGGTTTGAGAAGTATTCTCTGGCCAAGACAGCACTTTTCACTTCTGTGGAATGGCAATATTTGTGGCTGGTAGTGGAACCCTTTATTTATTAATATATGGAAGACACTATATTAATGCAATGTTATTTTCCCTGGAAAATAAAGGCAGGCTAAAAATAGTGTAAGTACGTTTTGACAGACCATTTCTTATTTTCTTTTTATGTTCAGTTCCTTTGAGTCTGTCTTTTTCTTGTTAGGAAAGCATAATTAACATTTTAATTTTCATTTCATTACCTGGCCCAGGTTTTGGTACTCTGTAGGCAACCACTAATCATTTAGTCCCCAAAATGAGCTGAAGGCTTCTTGGTGCAAGGAACATTAAAGATATAGAGGGAACAGACCCTGCTCTGGCTGGAGGCAGTGGAAGGAAACTGACCTACCTGTAATCAGACTGAATACAGGTCTACAGGTGTCGAGTTTCCTACCCCTATCACAATACTTATGCCTCCCTGATGAACAGGAGGCACAAATGTAGATGCAGATGCACTCTCACTTGGGACTGGCATGGAAACACCTAAAAGATCCCAGCTGAAAGCTCTCTGTACTATAATTAGAACAAGGCTGCCTGGAAAGCTTTTCATGTCTGTGGCAAGGCAGAGTTCTAGGATCCAACCATAAAGAAAAGCAAAGACTTTCTGAGGTAGCTTTCCCAGCTCTTTAATGCTATCATTTTGGACCAAAGCTCTTAAACTGTTTTGGCTTTCTATTGAAGCAACCCTGGGGTTGAAAAAGTATGCTTAGCACTGTACCCCCAAGCCACTGGATGCCCACCTCAACGGACTCCCATATTAGTGTGCCTCATGGAGAGGCTGTACAGAAGCAGGGAAGGAAAACCAACCTCCAGGTGCTCCTTCATGAAAGAGAACAACCAACTGTAGACAGTCAACAGAAAAAAATCAAGATCTGTACCCTCCCTCACACAGGTGTGGTTTTTTTTCAAATTATGTAATTTTAATAAAACTATATAAAATAAATTTTATATAATTTATATCAATATTGTGTCAATTCATTTTAAAATATTTTATAATGTTATATGAATTTTATATAAAGCATTTCTGAAGGTCTGTGAAGGTTGTGGTGGGAAGGAGGTATTTGGGGAACAGGTGAAGAAGGAGACAGAAAAAAACATGAGGAAGAGGAGGAACAGAAAGAGCAGGAGGAATACCTCCTCCTCTTGCTAGCCTGATTTTCATGTTCCTTCTCACCAGATAGGCTGCAGGTATGGGATACACCTAGTACCTCGCTAACACTGCCTCTGTCACTAGCAGGCTCAAACTTAAGGTAACAGGCTTGAAATTTAGGATGCTGAATATTGGGGCCTGGGACCCCTTCTCTGGCTGAGGAGGCAGGTCCAGCATAATGGGGTGGAGTTATCTGTTAAATATATAAAAAGGAAGGCTAGGAGAGAGGCTCAAGCACTGTACACGAGTCATCAGCATTAGCACTTCCCCCTGTCGTGGCTTTGACATAGTCACAAGTGGCAACATGAGAGAGGAAAAGGTAATTTATCAGGGACAAGGCAATGCCATTTACCCGTTGGGATGGCTCCTGCTTATTTGCAGGGAGAACATAGCCCTAGGGGCTGCCAGCAGCATAAAGGTGGTAAGAGTCAGTCTTTATTTCAGCATTTGAGACAATCTCTTGAAAATTTATTGTAGCAAGTGCCTCCTGACTTGAAAGTACCAAACAGCTTTGGGCAAGACCTGAGATAAAGGAGGTTTGGGAGTGTGAGGATTCTTCACTTTGTTTGCTTCAGCAGTGTCAACAATGAAAGATCCTAGCACTTGGATGAATGACTTGTCTTCATCTGACAGGCAACTCCATGAAAGTTTTAACAATACCATTAATAGTTATGCATGGGCTGACTTACATGGGAGCCTCCCTCCTCGAATACTCTGTGCTGAAGGAGCTGTGCTGAAGCAGGATTGTCTGCATATGAATTACTCACGGTTTTAATGGCTGAGCATTTTTGCCCATGTGTTAGTGCAGACAAACTGCATATTGAAAGGCTAAAAACTTTGTTCCCTCCAAACTCCTTCAACTCATTTGGTGATAGGGGAGCATATTAATGTTGTCGCCTGGTATTCCCAACACATCTGAGGAACTCCTATGACAATACAAGACTCCTTGGGGAGAGGATGGAGGAATGGGCAGGAAAAAATGATCAGGGATTCTGTAATTCACGTTTGAAGCAGGGTTCTCATTTTGCTTACTTTGTTCTCTGCTAGACATTTGTAAATATACTGAATTCTTTTTGAAAATGAAACCTCTTTTGACATTTCTGAAAGCTTCCACATTCAGAGCTTGTTCTGTTCCTTGGCTTTTAGAGGCAACCACAACTATGCTGCAAGTGAATGAAAACCCACAGATCTTTAAATGTCTCCAGTGACCAGAGTTTTAAACCTAAAAGCCCTTTGGATTAGATAGAAATACTTTTGCTGTATCCCAAAATTGGCTTCTGCAAGAAGAACAGAAGATGAAATGTTTTTTCAAGCACTTGGTGCCTCTTATAGTGGTGATATAAATTATTTTCTAGCACTCATCTTAGTCTTATATCCACTGAAGCAAGAGAAGCTGAGTGTCGCCTACCTGAAAATCACATGGAGTATTTCTCAGAACCTAACTCTGTGGTGCCTACCAACAGTGCTTTGCTCAATGCCTCCAGCTGTGTAATTCCCACTGCTAAGTTAGACAGGAGGTTAGGAGTTAAACTGAGCAGGAGGCCTGTTGTTCCAGCCCGGGATAAAAAGAACTAAATGCTGTTTTTCCAGAGCATAAATCCAGTAACATGGTTGAGAATACCTCTGCAACTGCAGTGTCAGTTTTTGAAAAGCAGAATTTGTTCTGGTGGGTTTTCCTTTTTCTGCTTGTGTGTTTTGTTTGCCATTTATCTGAGTTTTACTTTGTTTTCTAATTGCTTTCTCTAAGGCAGATAAGGATTTTCCTTGGGTAGTATGTTTTGGCAGATGACCACTATGAATGTTATAGATGCTGGTAGCTGTAGGGTTGTAATTTTGTGTTATTTCATGTATACCTGCTGTTTCCCAGGTTTGATGGAGAGATGGTAGGGGCAGTTCTGACTGCAAAGCTTGTGAGCTGTACCTGGATAAATAGATGCATTAAGCATATGGCCCTTCACATTACAGCAATAACCTTGTGTACTGAAGAGCACATTACTTTCACTCTAGGCTTGCACTGCAGATGATTTCTCAGAGCAATAGCCAGATACTCCTTGAACTACTGCCTTCAAAATAGCTTTACAAAACTGGAACTAGTTTCTGGAGCATGATTTTTACCCTCAGAGCTTGTTTTAACCCCCTATAGCATGTTTGCTTTGCATTTGATATGTGCAGGATCAAACCCAGAAGCAAGATGAAGAAAAAAATTATTTAGGCTATTTTTTGGATAGCAGTGCATTCTAGCATACCTCCCTCTGAATAGCCTGAGTGTTTTAAAAGAGAGTTGAGCTAAAGTAGGACTGAGGGAATTGAAGGAAGTGAATATGGGTTTTGTCAGCCTCTGGCAGTGGAAGCAACAGGTTCTGCATATTTACTGATTATAATGTGCTCTACATACTGGAAGGGGGTATTCAGAGCTTATGATGGGTGTCTTTACTATGCCTGGTTCAGAAATCAGAATGAATAAATGATAAGCAGTGGGATGCAATCAGACTGCTAACAAGCTATTTTGACTTGATTACATGCATGAGAAGGAGGGAGGGAAGGAAGGAGAGAGGGAGCCAAGCTGGGCTGTGAGCTCTGAACAGGTACAGAAGAGCTGAGGGCTCAGTGAAGAGCATGCCGGACCTTGTCACCAGGCTTGTTAGCATGTGACTGAGCAGCTGGAGGAGTAGATATCCTTACAAATCATGCAAATCATGCATATAGTATCCCTTAGGATATGTTCCCTTAGGGAACACTGGTGCACTCAGGAGACTGACCTGATGGGCATGTGGAGCTGAGCAGCCCTCACGTGTGTCCTTATGTGGTGGCCTCTCTTCATGCACAGTAGCTTCAAAGTGAATAGGAAACAACAAAGGGGAAGGGACACCCTTGCCTAGTAGGAATTACTAAGGCATTTGGTGCCCAAAGAGCTTCTCAGACCTGGGATATTCCACATGGCACAACCATCTCTTCCTGGTGGCTCCTCTTGCCAAAGTCCCCTGCAGCCTTTCCAGTGCTTTGCAGTGGTCACCTTGCTAGCAGAAAAGCACAGGAGCTTGGCCACTACTCAAGCCTGGGTCTCTGAACACTTGGAGAGTCAGTCCATCATCATGTCAGTGGTGACTTCCCACTGAACTTTCACCTCAGAAAGAAAGCTGAAGATCTTTACCCTTACCTTCTTCCATTTCTCTAGTGTAAGCACTTCTGGCATGTGTCCTCCCTGTCTGAATATGGGACTAAGTCTGATAGTACATTTTACTGACTTCATATTCCATGTAGACTCGTTTCAGCATTGTTATTTGTCAGTGTAATGAATAAATAAGGCTCTGGACCCAAAAGAAGCCTTAGTAATTAATTTTTAATAGTTTTGGGGTTTTTTTTCATTCTGGCATCTTTTTCGCAGGTAAATAAATTATAAAATGTCTGTCAATACAGGAAAGTTGGAAAGGAGTCCAATTTTTTTTTTTTTTTGCTAGTTTGCCTAACATGAAGAAAAAAAGTCCTTCCATTTGAATTACATACACAATGACTAATCTTTCATTCTGCTGTGGAAGGATTTGCTTGGGGAATACAAAATATTACATACCTACTGCTTTTGATAAATTTAATCCTCTCCCCAGCAGCACCATTAGGAGCCTAATTTGAATTTACAGCAAAGCCTAGATAACAATTTTTTTACTGCAACAGCATAAACAGCCCCTCATGTGAATGAGAATCAGGCCCATTGTGTCTCCACAGATATCAGAGGGCATTTGTGAGAGAATTTAATTCACTAAAATCTTCATTTTCTTAAGGGCGTGTGGTGGTGTTCTTGTCAAATCTGGACAAAAGAACCCCAAAACACTTCAGAGTAAAGGATTTCATGCAGTGAGACAGAGATACCCAGATAAGGCTCTGCAAGGACAGCATGGCTTGGCGTTAAGCTGCAGACCCACAGATCAAGGCAGACCTCTGTACTTGGAGCCTTTTTCTCTGGTTCTCTCCATAAAAAAAATAAGAAAACCTCACTGCCAACCCACACTTCCCTCCCTCAGTTGTATAGGATTGTTGCAGTTTGGAGGCGTTTCTGGAGGGTCACTCCCGGTCGCTCTGTGAAGGTTTCCAGGGCTGAGATCACCCCCCCTGCCGCCCGTCCCTCGTGGCAGGGACAGGCGGTGGAGGCACCTATGCCAGGAGACAGAGACCACACAGCACGCAGGGAGTCCAGCAGCGAAGAGAGCGATTTATTGATCTAACAACGGCTTAAGTACCTTTTGGAGGGATCACAGGGTGACCAGTGAGAGTACAGGACCTCTTACAAACAACCAATGATGACAAGGGGTTAACAAGATGAGTTTCTAGTTATCTCTCAGACATTCCACAGGTATAGTGAGGGGTTTATGGAAACAAGAAGGGTTACACAAAGGTTTAAAATCACCATCTTGGACACGTGGTCAATTTAACAATATTACAAGCTCCTGCATTCTTTTTATGTAACAGAGTTACCCCAACATACGATATCTTCTGTTTTGACTTTGTACCATTTTTGCCATAACTTGCAGAAAGTGAGTCACTCGGTCACTCGGAGCAAGCTGGAGACAAGTCAAGGAGAGTCTAAGGAAATGCTATATTCCCCTGCTGTGGCAGATCCCTTAGACTGTGCCACTGAAAGGTGAGCTCTTCTCTTGGCTCTTGCATGAGGCCTTATGGTAGAAAGTAGGTGAAGAAGAGAAGTCATCCAAAGAGAAGTCCTCTTCTGTTGTGCGTGCTCAGGTGGTGATTCCTATGCACCCTGCATCTATTCTCCCCTCCAAGATGAACCGGAGGGGCAGGGCTTGGCTGCAAGGATGCTCTAGATGAGAGAAAGAGTCCTCCCGTTAGAAGTTTGGGTTGAACAGTCCCTGGGACAAAAGGGACAGAGAAATGCCTGAAGGCTTGGGATTATATGGCCACAAGTTTCTACTTGTTTATATCTGCAGACCAGGAGAAATAAACTCCCTAACCTCTGGAGCAAAAGAGAGCTGCTACATTTTGCAGAAGAGACTGGGTTTAGTCCTACAAGGAGAGAGAGGCAGGCTGTGCATCTCTGTAGTCCTACTTTATTGTCAGTCATCCACAGCAGGACACAGTGATGGATAAGGCAGGGCAGCACATCTCCTGCTGTGCTGGAAGAGTTTTATTCTCACTGTGTGCTGGGTCCCTGTGTGAGCCTGGGTGGGGTCGAGCCCTGACATCTGCACTGCTGTGGTGAGAGCAGCTGCACTCTGAGAGGATGCTGGAGGCACAATTTGTCAAGAAAAGTAATATTTTTTATGGGAGTAGTTTATGGAGATGGATAAAAGGGACAAGCTTTAGAGTTCCCAGCTCCTTCTTCATGTCTGAAATAGGAGCAGCAAGAGACAAACCAGGGAACTGAAATTCATAACTCTGGACACTAAACAACGTGGGCTTGATAGAGATATTTTTTTAAGGCATTTTATGTTTCTGATCCCCTCCTCTCAGTTTTCAACTTCTTTTTAAACCAGCAATAAATTACCTGCTGCTATTTTTTTTTTTCTCCCTCTCTTTCCCAAGGACTGAATGACTTTTTTATTTCTCCTCATGTTAAAAAGGTCCCTCCTGCACTTACTGGATACTAAATACCTTTTCTTACCTATGATGTCACCAAGTTAATGAATGCATGTGCACAGGGTCTTGTTTCCAAACTCAAGTACTTCGAACCACAAATTTTAACAACCATGGCTGGATCCATTCCAGTATCACTTCAGGGGCTTAGTCACTCGGCACAGGCAAATGAAGTAGAGATTATCCCTCGACTCTTCCCACAGATGAGCCTGAAAATGGCATATGGAGACTCAGGTCTCAGCCAACCCCAAGCCTCTCTGAAAGGACATGTTTCTCTTTGTTAGGCATCTAGAGTTTAAACAGTGTAAATCTGGAGCTCATCATTTCTAAAAGTAGGGCTACTACATAGGCAAGTGAATTCTAGGGAATTGTTAAAGCTTTTTCCTTTGAAAGAACAGCAACAGTGTTGTTTCCTAGCATCCAGCCCTAGACAGCAGCACATCCAGATCAGATGAGCTTCCCAGGATGCCTCCTCCTCTTTATGAGGATACTGTTTTCACGAGATATGACAGCAGAGCAAGACCCAGCATTTGCAAGTGTGATTGAATACCTCAGATACAACCTCTGTGGCTTTTACAGAAGCCAAATGGGCTGTGAGTGCTGAGCAAATGCCATGGTGGATGCCTGGGTCCCTGGATCCTTCTGTCAGGGTTAGGCACCTTGGTATTGAGACTGGATAAGGCAAGAAACCTGCCAGACCTCTGAGTCCCTCAGCCTTTAACGCTATGGTCTCCCTCAGTGGGCAGAAAGGGTAGGTGAGAATAGCAGGTAAAAATGAATCTTGCTTATAATGAAAATTAACATTTTGGGGGCAAATAGGGGCTCAGCAGTGATACATTGCTGCATTTCAGATACCTGTATGAGCCCATGGGCACCACCCACCATGCCTCCCAGTACATCCACAACTGTACTTTCCATGAGGGTCACGAGATAACTTTAGTGAAATGAGGGGCATGCCTCTGAGTTTTCTTGGTCCTGGTAATAGCTGTTTTGCCAAATATGTTGAATGTAAACTGAGGACAAATGGGGAAAGTTTGAGAAGGCATTTTTGTGATGTGATTTTTGCATCAATATTAAAACAGTAGAGGTGATTGTTCTGTAAAGAAAGACCTCTGGAGGAACAACACATCACAATCTCAAGCAGTCTGTGCAAGTCTGTCCATTTTCTTCCCATCCCTCTTACCTCTTGCTCTGCACAGCTTCTGCTTTCAGCCAGTTCTGGAATGCCTTTGCAAATGTGTTTCAGGGAGATGGCAGCCACAGCTGTTGTTTTGGACAAGTGTCTGTTGTTTTGGACAAGCTCAATAAGCTGCCAGGGGATGGTAGTCAGAGGTGATGATATTTAGTAAGAATTTGGTGAAAAGATTAAGCAGGAAAATGGAGAAAGAAATAGGAGAGCCAGAACTGTTAATTTGAATGCTTCTTTTAAGAGAACTGTTTTGGTTTTTTTCACTTCCAAACAACTTTTTAGGGATAAATTTAGCTCTGTGTGTTTAAAATAAATAAGGAGGCCTTGAAGTGAAGTCACCACCTCATTTTAGTTAAATCGAATATCTCTGTTTACTGAAAGTATTTAAGGGAGCTTGAAGTTTCGTTTCAGACAACTTAAAAGTATTTCTACAATTATTATTATGGTTTAGCTACTGAACTGAAAAATTATTTATTTGCACAGCTCTAATTAAGACCGAAGGAAACTTATTTAAATGCTTTGATTAATTATGCTTTTATTCCCAGCTGAAGCGAAGTGAGAATTCCAAGTCAAAGGAAAGTATTGCTTCTCTTTTCTTATGCGTATATTTCCTTCCACTGGGGCAAGTGCTGGGGTCTGCTTCCTGACCGAAGTGTTCATTTACTTTTTGTCTGTCCCATGCCTATTGTGGCAG